AATATCGATAAAACTGTATTTGTTGGGTACAAAAGCTTGAAAATTAATTACAAGGCTTCTAGCATATTGTTACAATATCAGTTGAAAAATATTAAAAATACGGAGGCACGATTTTTTTTTTATAAGCATTTAAATTTCAAATTCGACTAATTACGTACAAATTACGGCAATTTCCAAATTATCTTATATATAATAGAAATTCATAAAAATGTTTCTTTTTAAACCTAAGATTTGAACATTTAATTCAAGATTCTTTATAAGTTTGTCTACCTTTATTACAAAAAAAAAAAAAAACTCCACTGGAAAGTCAAATTATATTTTTATGAGAGTTTGAAATTTACAAACAATGGATATTCACTGAATTTCTCATTTAGCAATTTTCTTATTTTGGTGTAACTCTAAAACAAATTACCGTGGGTACTTGAAATTTTCACTGAATATTTATATACTCATTATCTATACTTGACATATAAACCGTCTCCGCTCAGAATCGTTTTTCGCATGATATAATGTAATTGAAATCTAATAACCTACTGTACAACAGAGCGACATCCACTTTCCCATTTTTTTTTATACAATTCGTATAATATTAAATTATTATAAATCACTTTCATTTCAATAATTTTTACCGTACCGTATCCAAATAAGTTCTTAATACTATTTTTAAATTAATATTATACCTATAGGAAACGATTATTTACTTATAGAGATTATTTTCATACAAATTAAATTTTATGTAATTTAAATATTTAAAAAATTAATCATTTAAACTTATAAACAAAAATTTGATTAAAACAAATTTAAATTTCTTTGAAATGTCATTTGAAACGTCASCTATCATAAAATTAAACATATCTATGTTTATTATAAATATCCATTTGTAAATTACAAAAATAAATTCGTTATTGACAAAAACTGACCATCTACAATTATTTTAGTTTTTCATATTTTTATATTTTACCAATTCTTTTGAAAATTATTGAGAATTTTTTCTTTTGACACTTTTTCACACAGGTATTATTAAATTTCCTATCAGAAACAACACTCAAAGTTAGAGTTTGATTTTTTTTTCTTTTCTGAAATTTTATAACTGATAAAAAACAATTGTATGTTATGCTACTTCATTCTAATACCGATACAATCATCGCTCCACTAAAAATTAAGAATAATAAATAAATMAATTATTGCCATTAGAAAGCATCAAAAAGCTCTCGAACTGTATTGTCTATTGGAAAATTTAAAATTGTTGAAATTYAATCATGCAYTTAACACTGATGAGGTGCATCTAATGTCGTTGTTTGTGGTTTTTCAGTTTTTCGGTATTTTGCATGGAACGAAAAATATGAACTGGATAACAATACATTTTTATTATTTTTATTTACAGTTAATGTTTTAAAAATCCCATTGTATTCAAACTATTCACAACAGCTCATTTATACATTTTTATTAACGTTTAATATGTCTTTTTTCAAATATTTACCACTATTTTTGATTAGTGGTAGTCTGTTGATCGTTTTGGCTTTTTAAATAATTACGGCAGTAAATCATAGATTTAGGTTCATTACTTAAATTATTACGATCCTCCAAAGTAAGTTAACTAATTAATGGTTCCAATTAAAATAATTAGATTAAGTTTACATATTAGAAGCGTCCAATATTTTTTTCAATAAAGTTTCAAAGTTAAACTAATAATCCAACGAAGCACATTACTAATCCTTCTTTTTGTTCTCAGAACATATAATAAGAGTATAATTTGTCAAGAAACGWAAATATAATATCCACACGAACGAATTTTTTGGAGCAGTAAAATGGAATACATTTTTTTATATTCACTGTAGGTATTTAGTCTTAATTCAYAGACCAACTAAAAAAGGTTAGTTWTGGTTTTATTTTTAATCTATATTTAGTGTAGAGCCAGTATTCAAACAGTGAGTTTTATACACATAATRCTGGTGAGCTCTGTGATTCATACGATTCCTTTTGAACTACTGAATGTTTAGTTTTATGGATAATACAATGTTCCTCATTTTTCTAACATAGAAACTATTTTTCAAAATAAAACCTTCAAAAAATGGGTTTAGGTTTTACAAAATCAGTAGTTTAACTGAGGTAAAACAATCTTAAAGAAGAATGATTTAATTTAGACTAAATAACATAATACCCAACAAGTTAGAGTAAAAAACTACTGAATGCTAAACCACTTATTTTTATTTTAGTGGTCACCAAATGGTCGATTTTTAGATTAACTTCGGTAAAACAWAACTATTTGAAATTAATTATACCATTAACAATGGTATAAGCTCATCACATAATCGAGAGATTAACACAATTCTATGCTACCTATTTGTATATTTGTACAAAGTAATGTATTTATTTAACGAAGAAAACTATACAATTGTTTGATCGAGAAATAATAATATTATTTTAAAATGTTGGTGTTGTTGCTGCAAGTAATAATATTTACAGGAAACTTTGTTAACAGTTGTATTAGTTTCGACAATTATATGATTACAAAGATAGTACGTATAAGTATATAAAATTAATGATAGAAAATATATTACAAATAAATTGTATTTTTAGACCAGTCTGGTTCAAGAAGTATATAAGTGAGGTAATTATTGGTACAATTGGTGAGGAGAGAATGAATCAGATGTCGAGAGAGGCATTAAAAGAGTGAGTTAGGGCTAAAAGGATATTGCGTTKGWGAGCCAGGGAGGGACAGTGAAAAAGTATATGAGAGATATCGCAGATGGTGGAATCGTGGATATGTGACATGCCTAAAAGAGAGCCATTGAGAGAAAGTTTATAAGAATGTGAAGATAGTAGAGTGTGTCCAAATCTTAGGCGTGAAAAAGAAGTAATTATGTTACGATTTAATTTGAGGTCACAAACCAAGGTTGAGATGGTATAGATGGTGAAATATTTTTGTACCAAGATGCTCAATTGGAGGCCAGTGGCGTGTCCAGAACTTTTTTTGTGGATGGGCCACAAAAATTAAGTTCAGAATGGTTTTACCCCCGCCTCATACTAAAATTTCATTGAGTATTGGACTTACACTAGTCTAGTACTTATATAAAAATGTGGGTGGGCACGTGCCCACCGGGCCCACCCCCTAAACACGCCACTGTTGGAGGCTAGTTTGTTCCATTGGTTAAGCCATAAATTAGAAATATGGGAAAATAATAATATAAATAATAGGATAATAGGTATACCTAAATCAATAGTGGTCTATTGTTCAAAATCGACAAAAATTATAGTTAAAAATATAATGTAGGAAAATATTACAGTAAATTCAAGTTAACCTAACTTTAAACCACTTATTGGAAATACATTCGTATGATAGAAACTAATTTTTAGTTAATTTTTTTAGAACCATGAATATGACTTTATGACAATATAATATAGAAGTATAACACCACTCCAAAATCTAACATGATCTTAAAGACTAGAATTGTATGCGAAGAGCGGTGGGATATGGAGCTGGTTTACTATTTATTATGATTTTGGGAGAAATCTCACCAATTATTTATTTTTTATTGTTTTTTTAATGGTGTTTTGTCATTTATAAAATATTTTTTTTTAACATGAGYTGCTTTTGAAAAATATTATGTAATACGATGATAAAATTCTACAATTTGATGAATTATATAACTTGCTAATATCACGATAAGATAATATTGTCGTTTAAATATTAAATTTTATTTTAATCACATATAAAACATAATACTCGTCACTGGCACATTATTCTAGGTATTCCTATAATAGTATAATGATAATTTTTAGACTATCGATGTCCGGAGTTTTCAAAATCACAAAATTTCAGACCTATTCTGTCAATATCATATTTTGACAATGGTACAAGTTTAATGGGGACATGGGGTAAACGATGATTATTATTTTCCTGTATGCCCAAGGTCGATAGTTTTTCTTTAATTCATTAYTCAGTTTACTCCGATTACCACCGGAATACCGATAATATACCAGTAACAATATAACATATTATCACCTATTATTGTAATATTGTACAGTTATTATTCTCCCCGTTATCATGATAACGAAGCAAACAACTAACACGCCCGTCATTTTATCACATGCCGACAGGTCAGCACTACGAGCATCAGTCGCAGCAACAGTCACAGTTCTGTCGGCTGTCCAAGCAGGGCAGCAGTTCCATGGACGCCGCAGCCATCCACGTCCAAACGTCTGAGTGCACGCACTTCATACCACCGCCACCGTTGCACCACTCGGTGGCTAACGGCGGCGTCGGCTCACCACGGGCAGGAAGTCCGGCCCGCGGCCCATACCTCGCCGACGGGATACTTCCGCCACCGCGACTGCACAGCATGCCGGTGCAACAGCAGGCCACGTCCGACCACCACGGATTTGAGTGCGACTTTCACTGTTGCGCGCTGCACGAAGAGGGCCGCCGGATCGCTGTGCACAAGTCGGTGGCCACGTCACCGATACAGGAGTGCCATCACGCGCCACCGACGCAAAAGCAACCAATGATGCAACAACAGACGCAACCGCCGTCCGCCAGCCAGCCCACATCGTCCTCGTTGTCGGACGGAACACGTCGCGCGTCGCCCAAAGGCCACGTCCGGTTCCTGGACCCGTCCGGGTCGCCACCGATGCCGCCTCCACCGCTGCTGCCACCCTCGCCTCCCTCGTCGCCAGCGCACCGTCAGCAACCACCACCGCCGCTACAGTCGCTGCCACCACCACTACAGCTGCAGCATCGATCCGACAGCTCCGATTCTGAGACGGAGACCACCGTCATCGAAGACGACTCGATGACCAGCGAGAAGTTCCTGTTGCTTATCGACCAGCTGGTCGACAAACAGGACAGGCACCTGACAGTCAAGGACATTGGCATCATACTGGAGAGGCTCAACTCGAAAATCGTGGACGTCGAACGGCTGGACCGTGACTACGAGGCCACTGACTGCTACAACTGGACCATTAAGGCAACCATCAGGGGCGACGTGCTCCAAGAGTACGGYATTATATACAACGGCAACTATTATGGCATATCCGAACACCCGGGTTACCGGCAGAACGACGAGGAGCTGCCAAACGAGGACGAAGAGGCGGCCCTAGACGATGACGACGAAGGTAACGACGGCGGAAGCGCCACTGCATCGGCCGCAGCCAGTGGAAGCAGTGCAACCGGTAGAGACGATCGCCTGCACAGACGTCGTGCTGACGAAGAGGTTAACATTTAAATAATATATATTATATACTATTTATAATCACACGTTGTTACATTTACACACATACACACACACACACAAAAAAACACACACACACACACACACACACACACACACACACACACACACACACACACACACACACACACACACACTTAGTGGTAGATACTAAATTCATATATTAACAACACAATTTCAGCTGATAATATTTAAGTTATAATATTTAAGTACTGTTATAATAAT